GTATAATCTATTTAATAACTCATACTCATGTGATGACAGATATTCATTTCCAAAATACATGTTAACAGGAATACAAAAATACGAACTGGGAATGTTTGTACCTAAGGAGGAATAGATTTATGTAACAAGTTCATGATCAAACGAAGGAAGTGATTGAAGATAGAATATACGACAGTGATTCATGTGTCAAACTAAAGCGTGCAACCAGGATAGTGAAAATGTTCAAGTATTTGAAAATCATACAACTATAAATACACGTCACTCTTCTTCAGACTGTTACTAAACTTTTAATTTCAATGTTTTCATCCCAGAAACAATCAGGACACTAGCATCGCACTATTTTGTTTCATTCACATTACTTTCAAAAATAATTCAGCGAAAAATATAATAAACTTCTCTAATAAGGATAGTTATCTAATATAGAAATCATGTAAGACCTAATATGTTGCATTCAGTTAGACTGCTTTTTATGCGTTTTCTTTCGGAGAAGGTTCTGTACACACTTATCTTGTTTATAAGTTCCTGCAATTATGAAATTTAAAGGTTTCTATATGGGTTTTGTCGAGGTCCTTGCTGAAATGTATCTACTACATCCAAAGGCTGATCGCCTGCTCAAACTCTAAACAAGCTCTACATATTAGTGGGAGGATAGATCAGCACAATCTCTCACTAAACCCACCTCGCACCTGGTCAGATAATTTTATGATTTTACCTGATCCAATGCTTTATCTCCAAATGTGTTAGGTCATATATTTGCTGTTTGACTGCCTTTATTTAAATAATAGCTGTTTATTTTTATTTTAAGGGGTGTGGACTTATGATGCAACGCTAATCTTTCCTGATCGATTTACATGGTCTAATAAACTTAAAGCTCCCCCAAGGAAGAATCAATCAGTATACTGTGGTTCTCTCATGAAAATATGGTTGACGTTTGTTCTTTTCGTCTAGCCTGAAATAAAAGTCGCTTTGAGACTGCATGGTGACCGTTTTACGAGACCAGGACGATTCTTTATGATGATCATTTTTAAGTATTTCAGACCCATTAGTGCTTGAACTTTCACGCTTTATGGTTGGTTGTGTAAAAAATGTAGTGGAGATATTCCCTCTACCTCGGTAGCATTGAATTTACTCATCAATAAGTGATGTCGAGGTTGAAATATCGACGTCATTATAGAGCATGAAATATGGTGTAGTTAATCACCCCTAACTTACGAGCCCGAATTGGTGACGAACAAATGCGCATCGGTCCGTTCATTCAACAACATGTCCACTCACTGACACAACAGCACTGGAACACTGTCAGTTACGACTCTCTCGTTTTCTCAATTGTTGAACTTCTGTTCGCGTTAATTGTTGAGTATGCATTTTCTCAGTTATTTCAGGTTACCAAAAAAGTAATAAAGATCCTCCGGAATTGATAAGCTGAAAGATAAATAAAAAAGAAGGCAGCAGCAACTGGTCGGGAAATAAATGTTATGATTTCAAAATGTTCAACCTAGTTCTTAACAAACACGCAAAACAGAAATTCGGCTGAACATTATGCAAGAGTTGGACATAGTGGGACTATAATAATTAAAAATAACTCACCTTACAGATATTTTAACAAGTCACATTAAAATGGATAGTAATCATTGTTGGTTAATTGCTTAACATAAAGGCAGTACAAGTATTTTGTGTTTAGAAATAGTAAGACAATCAATATTTTATAAATGCTTTTGGTATTGTCTTTGGCTTAAATTTGAAAGCCAAATAATTTTCATCTGGGTGTGGTGTCCGTATGAGATGATTTCCAATGGCATCTGCATTAGAAGGATTACTGAAAGAGCGAATGTATAAACACTGAAAGGAATGATTGCAACTAATGCTACAGTTAGTTTGCCAAATTTGATGCGAATTATTTAGTTTCGTGAGGATTTCCTCGAGCTTATTATTACTTAATCTTGATAGAATTTAGTAGTACAACTAGTACATAGGAACTGTTATCAAATCGTGATAATTGTGTGCATTGGGACAGATAGCTAAGAGCAGTTCGTTAAGCATGGGTGTATTAATGACAGGCATGCTGTAGACTCAATGTTATTCATATTCATACCTACCGGCTGATGATACATACAAGTTAGTTGCAAGTATATAGTTTAGCATAAGGTAGAAAAGGAAGTACTTGAAATTGTGGTGGATTTCAGCAAAAGAGCTTATTCAAGATATATCAGTAAGCAAGGTTATTATTAATATACCAAAAGAGTTAACAGTAAAACCCTAGGTGTCTGTCTATGAGTAAAACCAAAAGTTAACAAATTTCAGTTAGAATACAAATGGTATATTAAACAACATGGTAATAACAGTTGTTATGAAATGAATGTAACTTGTAAGCTGCTCTCTGAGATAACGACCACAAATGAGTTCACTTGATTAACGAAGATTCCTCTGAAACAGTTGGTACCAACGGCGTAATGAGAAAGGCTGTATCCAATAGTATTATTTAATAATAATCCGGGCCAAAAATTAAACATAGTGTAGGAAGGCCTAGAAGGACGTTATAACATTATTACAGTCTTCAATAAAAAGCCGTGGCCAAGAAAGCAGAAGAACAGACGGCGGAGACAGCGTTTTATATTTCAACCAACGCGGTGGAATATTGGTATATAAGTATCCAAACAATTATAATCGTTTTTTAACAAGTGATACAGAAAATGTGGTTACATATAAAGTGTGACAAGTTAGAGAAAAAATGTGGTTTTTATTCTGTCGTTACAAAAACCACTAAATATACGTCACCATAAAATATAGTGAATATAAGTTGTTGAAATCAACACAGCAAAAAGGCCACAAATATGTGACATGATGTTATCAGATGCTTCCAGTTAAATAAATTTTTACAAGATGATAAATAGTGATTGATGTTCATGTCGTTATCAGGATGAACACAATTTGTAGCCAACAGAAGTACAACTCCCAGCTCATGCCTATGATAATGGCTTGAGCCTTGGTTTGTGTTGCGATAGATTCAACACCTTTTTCAGTTTGCAGAAGGTTTTCTCGACAGCTTAGACTGATGATTTTCGTGCATGATTGTGTTTCTAAACCTCAAATTAAACTGACAAAGTTTTTTAAGATGTTTGTTAAGTGAGCAAATAATAGAAAAGCATACTGAAATAACCTGTAATAGATAAAGATATCTGCCGGAAAAAAAATACTATTTAATGGCAGTTATAAGTCAATTTGTTGACCGATTTTATTAATAGTTCTATTAATTTTATCAATCATATTACGTGATTGTCAATTCATGACAATGCTTTATGACGATATCCAGGAACTTTTATGTTTAACTAGTTATAGCGTTGATTGAGAATTAGCGAATGGGAAATAAGTATTATTTTAAGTGATTTCGAAATAGCAGAAGTTCGTAGCACCAACTGATCCAAGCTGCCTAATAATATTACAGTTTTCGATCCAGAAATATTCGTTCATTACGTTTTAATTTTAATAATAGTCTACGGAGTTTATTTAGAATATTTGTATGACTAATCTAGTGGTAATTTAGACATTATAACAGTGTAACACTATTGTATCTAATTTCACTGACTGTAGTATCTAAACTATGTTCAACGTCTTTTTAAACAACTATGACTGTCCAATTCATAAACCTAAATACGTATCGCAAAAATGACTACGTTAAAAACGATTCAAATGATTGTTAAATTTAGAAGGCATAGAGACGACGTTCGGAAGATTGTGTAACAATCAGTGATCTGTCGTCTAACGTAGAAATGGTTCAGTATGATGAGAATTTTTCTCAGGTTCATTGAAGTAGCCACGGCCGTAGGCTTTCCTTCCCTGAGTCCAGAACCAACCCATATTTATAATGTGACTACGAATTCACTTGGAACATTTTAGAAAGTACTACTACATCAGGCTTCTCAGATAACATTGTCCCTACTAAATATGCAATTAATATATTATCCAAATTGTCACATCTAATATAGTCTTCAATGTTTCATCTGTTAATAAAAAATTTAACGAATATCAGATTGATTATTCTGATCTTCAGTCTTCAGTAATAGGGATACTAGGTAGGTAAACCTGCGTTAATTCCAGCTTCTTTCTGAAAATATTCATTGATGTTGCTGATACGGCGCGTTCCAGTCATTGACTACTCTATGAGAAAAACGGGACCCTTCTTTAAGTTTATTAAATCGCGGTTTGTGAACTTTCTTGCTAGAGCCTCGGGGATTATTGGCGCTGGAGGGACCGAAAGGTAAGACATATTAACACCCAAATCATAATTAAAGATACGAAAATCCACTATAAGGTCACCTCACGTTCTGTGATATGACAAGGGAAGAAGGTTTAGGCGTTGTAAGCGCTCGTTGTAAGGGAGTTAAGAAAGACTCTCCACTAATTTTATTCTCACACTCAGAACACGCTCAAGTGGGCTAGTTGCTTGGATACACTAACCTAAGTGGTCTTACATAGGTGAGAGACAATTTTCGAAATATCTCCTCGTCAAAGCATTTGGATGCTCGACGAAGCGACGCATGAAAATTTTTGTTTTCAAGTCATGACTTATTATTACTCCTAAATCTTTATGTTCATGAACTACCATCACTAGTACAACGGTAAATATTACCCTCTCCGACATGCATGAGCATACTCTTCCTAGGATTTCCTTTCAAGCTATAACCACAAGCACATCTAGCTAATTCATCTAAGTCAGCTTGAAGATCAAAATGATCAGCCTCACTTCTTATTACTCTACAGATTTTCACATCATCCGCAAACACTGAGCGGTAATTTATTGACGTACTCATTAACGACCTGAAGTGACTCTAACAATGCAGAGGAAATTTCCACGTGACTTTTGTTTGTTGTCAGAGTTTTGCGTATAACCTATTGGAGATCAATTGAATTTCTGTTTGTTTATATGTTCAATCTAGGTCTTAGGCGGTTGTCCTTGTACAACCAGCTGTTTATCCTCTTCCGTGGTCAAGTGGGTCGGAGTTTTACTGTAAAAGTGTAGTTAGAAGTTAGAAGAAAGTTATTAAACATTTAACGTTCTAGTCCCTTCTTTCTTAATGGGATGCAAGTCTTACTCATCTTTTCTGTAATTTGGCTCACTTTCTACGGAATATCATCAATAATCGTGGACCACTTTGTTACATTTTGGGTCTTTTATCATACGCGATAGACAAAATGAGAGGGTACGATAATCCCGAACAACTTTCGTCATTAATCGAAGTGCAATTGAGATTAAACCAAAAATTTACGTGGTGTGAATAGGTCACTGATTAAGTACCATTTCCATGCAAATTTCGGGTCTATTGAGAAATATACAACTTTCATGGATTGTATGTATATATATGTAGCACCTCTGTGATATTCAGGCAGGAGGTACGTATTTTCTGTGCAATGTTGGAACAGCTGTTACTCAAAAGGTATCAATTAATAACAATTATGCCAAGAAGTAGATAACAGGATCGATGTTCATTACAATCCCATTGAAAAAACCACTAGTTTCATTTGTTATGCAAATGGTAGTAAAACTTATGGTCAGAAATGCCAAAATCTAATTTGATAGTATTAGTTTGGAAACATCCCCGACAAATTAACTAAAAATGCCGACTTAATTTTCAGTTTTATCATAACTGTCATCATTTTAGGTATACGAAGGCCTTGTCACTGGTGTAATATGGTACAGCCAATTAGAGTATGATCACAATAGAGTTGGTCCTACTATCTGAAGGATTAAAGTTCTTTCACTCGGTCTCAGTAATAGTAGGAGGGTTCTTTCGTAGTTTCCCTTATCGTTGATTCCTAACTTTGTCATCTTTTTTTCAGCAGTCGGTTTAGATTGTTTCCAGCTGTTCGTCGCAAGTGATTGGCTTCATCAGTCTACATGATTGTATAAGACCGGTGAAAGTATTGATCTCTCAAAGGGCTTGCTGTAGGCAGCAGTTCTGTTGTTCCGTCATGTTCATCGAGAAAAAAAAGCAATTTGGGCATCATGAAACAGTTGATTCATTAGATTCATACCAATATGAAAGAATCGGTTGGGAGATAATTAGGAATAGTTGACTTAGTTTTTGGTGGATTTGATCTGCAGTAGTAAGGTCTCAGTTCAGAATCCCGATCCGCCTATTTTGGCTTGGGAAGCCCGATAGCATCGCAAACTTTCAAAGTAAAAAGTGCATTCACAGAGTGGGTGGAACGGCATTTGCACCGTTTAGCTCTCATCATTTCTTGTAGTATGGGTAGTACGGACGACATTGAGTATTTCTGAGTTTAATTTTCAATGATTTTATTGTATCGGTAGGGCAGTGTTGGAAGGGCTTAATTTTCAACTGCCAAACTACGAATTAGAACCTTATCTTATCAATGGCACCTTTCCCTAATGTAACATGAGTTTGAGAACTTTATTGATTACTGAGTTATTTCAGTGAGTTAATATAAGTTGATGGCTCAAGGCATAGTAACCTCTTTAATACGTTGTGAATAAGGCGAAATCTATCATTATTCTTACTGTTTATTATGCGAATACTGTTATACTACCCATAATGGGAATGTAGCTTTGTAGAACATGAGTAGAAAGTTCTACCTCTCGGTTATACTAAAATATTTAACGTGAGGTATGTTTGGATAATATAGTTTGGTAAGGCTTATCACTAATCTATGGTGAATATGGAGCTTATCTGTTGCAAAGATATAAACCGATCGTATAAATAATAACCTGCCGGTCAGTTGAATGCTTTGTGGTAGCCTTTATAAAAGTTGTCATTTGACAAGATAACTTTTATTTGGATATTTTCTGCTGTATCGGAATCAGTTGTTAAATGGTTGCTCAAAATCGTTTGCAATGGCGTAGATGCATCCACTCTGTTTTCTCCCGAATTCTAATCCTCTGAGTTCTTCATGTCCTGTTTTTCTTCTTTCCAAGTTTATTTCACTGGATTATAATCTTTGAATATCATCTTCAAACCCTAATCTTTCCGGTTACTGGTTATAATTTTACTACTACGGGATTTGAATTGACAGTTGTATCTCTGTGCTAATGTGGTATGGCAACTCGAACTGATAAACATACGTTCGAAGTTCTACGTTGTTGATTACTGACTGCTAAATGGTTGGCTATTTGCTCTAAAATTGGCATCAACTGACTTTCTGTTTTTTGAATAGTATTCATTCGACCTTTTCATACAGTTATTGAGAGGTGCATGTTCTTAATAGTGTGATCTTAAAAGCTCATGTTCCTAAGTTTCTTGACAATACACTTGACCAACAGATGTTAAGACAACCTTAAAGCGAATAAGTCATGTAATTTGTCGTGGCCACATATTTGTTTTCAACATAATAGGTCGTAAAAAGCGAACTTTGGTAGGCATTGAGTGTGTACACTTTTCGATTAACTAACAAAACAAAAAGCTGTGCCAATTATCAAACACGAAATCCCTAATCCTATCATTCTGTTATTTGAGGGGTGGGCCCGCCCTCCCTCTCGAAATGCTCTCACAAGGCTACGCGTATACAGCTTCTACCAGGGAAGTCCTACTCACTGCCTTCTCGTGGCGGGGGTGTTGTATACGAAAATGAGAGGACGAAAAGCGAATGTCCGGCGCTCTAACCGAATCCCAAACCAATCGTGCACATGGAACCCAGTATCCTGCGGGAACAAATGGCATATGAACCAATAGTTGGTCACCGGCTACCATGGGAATGCATCTCCTCAGGATGTTCCACTGCCTTGTGGATCGGACCTTTAGGTCAAAGGCTCGGGGTGTGGCCCCCTAAGAAAACCACCTGCTTCGGTTTGGGTACCCGGGAAGTATCCCAACCCTCACACAAATCGAATGATTTGTGTGGCGCATACATATTTGGCGCCCTCTTGTACCAATATTAATGTGTTGAAATAAATAAATAACATAATCAGTAGGCCTGGTCGGTGATGCTTTGATGTTCTTACGAAAGTTGTTCCTTTCTGTTGGGGATAATGGCCTAAAATAATTGTATGGAGTAAATTTATGTTGTAACTATCCTGTATTTTTACCACAAAATCTGGGCTTCAAAGCCCATTACACTCATGTGTACTTGTTTGTTAGAAAAATATCTGGTTTCGTACAAGCTATTTGCACACACTAAGTTATATCACGATTAAGTGGTTCATTTAATATTAATCTTATGAAGTTAGATTTTTATAGATTAATTTAGACTAGAGTATTTGTCATTCTAGGTTATATATTTCCAAAGATTTTACTCTGTGGAACAATTCAATCACAGATGTGGTCATTTAAGCCTTCTTATCTCTTCATTAACTAACATCGACTGAAGAACTTATCTACACAAACCTTTGGCTGATGAAGATGTAATATTCTCATTCGCCTATTTCCACTCAAGGGTTAAAAAATGGCATGCTACAATTTGAAATTTAGGCATCTTGTATGTGTTAACGGATTTGTTATCTATTTATTTCGTCATTGGTAGTAAAAACCACTCAGTTTGAACACTAAAGAGTACATATGTCCTAACAGAATAACATTAATGGGATACAAATTACTGCTAGCTCGAGGGAAATGACTATATTACTTTCTATCATCAGGGTATATAATACATCAGCCGTAGTTGATAATTTATTGGGCTTTGTGGACTGTTTTCCCATGAGCTTTGGCTAATTACTTTAACAGACGATACTTCTTAGTTAAATCAGTTATTCTAAATAAGTTCACTTATCTTGTAAATCTGGTCAGCCCTGATTGCTTGGTGCCTGACCAGATCTCTACACGGATTCAAAAAGCTCGTTCAGCTTTTGTTAACTCCACCTATGGTGAAGGTGAGATATCTGTCTATTAATTAAAGGACGAGTATACTGCACGGCAGTTCGTTCTGTTTTACTTTACGACTGCGAAACGTGGTCATTAAGGGTAGAGGATACTCGTAAGTTAGTAATAGATTGACTGCTTTAACTGACGACTATAACCAGGTTACTAAGTTCTATGTTCACTACTTTCTAACCACTTTATGAGACGTTTATTTAGTGTGTAAAAACTGAAATATTAAGTGGAATCTCATCGTAGCTTCTATCTTAACTTGATAGTCGGGTTTACCTACCGTAGTAACTCAACTGAGCCATATTGGCTGATACACGTGTACCTTTACGTCCTACTGTGCCAGACAGATCGGTTGAAGAATAGTAAGACTAAAAGCAGAAAATTAAGGTCCGAAGATAAGGTACTGCCAATTGTAGAGGGGTGTGAGAGCAGTAGGGTGTTTCCCTCGGACAGCGTCTGCAGCGATGCTGCCTTCTCACAACGGAAAGAAAAGCTTAGAATAGGTCGACCATAAAAATGTCGCACTCCACCTTACCCCACGGATTTCTGTCTCCGGCGGTAAAATATTTTAAAATGCGGAGCTAACACCGAAAACTTCCCTTGCGTTGTCCCTCCGGTTCTGCAGTCAAACTACCAAGTCTCTAAGAACATCACTAATTCGGCTTTTTTTCAGACCTCTCGAGAAGAAATATCCTTCAATGTATGGGCAGCCTGGAAGCGAAAGTCACCCTCATACCTCTATCAATACTCAAGATCATCTTATTGACGATGGGATCCCTCCTTCATCTCTTGATAATTCTCATATCCACACGACTAACCCGTCTCATATATTTTTATCATCATGCACCACTAATACTAATGATTTGAGTTCATGAAATTTTGCTACTGGTCTCCTGAGACCACTCTCTAAACTGCGTGTTGGGGATTTTAATGTACGAACCATGTGTCAGATAGGACAACAGGCTTCTTTAGCTAGGACTTTAGAATCTCAAGTAATCGTTAGAATGGATTTCAACAGACATTCGCTTCTACAGTGTTCAATTAAACTGAACAGTAAGAACTTGAAAATTTGGTGGCACGTCGTTTCCTTGTCGTTGTATCTGAGTAAGCTCTCACTGATTATAACTTGGAAAAAGTTGAAAATGAATTTTATGTTATCCAACCTCGGTCAAAAAAGTAAACTCTCTGACTTGGTAATAGTGGCAGTTAATTATAATGTTCAAGTAGCTCAAATGAAGCAAACCGAAAGGCATCTAGGTGGATCTTACGTTGTCGTGGCTCAGCGAACAGATTATGGCGACCGTTTGTTGCAACTATGCACGGATAACCGTTTAATCCTGTCAAACAGCAGCTTTAAACACAAGGAAAAGCATCATCCGATGTGGTGATGAACTTAAAAAGATCAGATTTCCATAAACCATCGTTATAGGGGGTTGATTGAACATTTTTACTCATTCTACAGCACATGCTTGGACTCAGATCATGCTCTAATTCGAGCACGTGTTTGTCTCCGTCTTACTGGACGTATAAAAGAAAACCCTTTAGAATTCAACTTAATGATGAAAAATTCAAGAGCATATTTCTGGACTAACTAGGGAAGGAGCCAGTTAATCGTCAAAATGACATCCACCACTAGGTAGCTTGGTATGATATCCCAAATGCTGTGGAAACAGCAGTGATATATACTAGTAACTTAAAACTAAAGGTTAGGAAAAATCAGTGGATTTCATCGGTGTTTACAGCACTAATAGATGCTCGGGAACTCACGCCTGGTCCAAAACACGAGGAGCAGATGCAGCTTAAACGTATGTTGATCAAAAGCTTACGTAACGACCTTAAGCTGTAGTGGATAGCGAAAGCAGAAGAGATGGAAAAGGCCACAGCGAAACGTAACATTAGACAACTGTTCAGACTTATTAAGGAAACATGTATTTAAAATACGGCTGTTAGTGAAACTATCTTGGAAAAAGGTGGGACTATTACTCATTGAAATGATGAGCGAAGCACTTTAGGGAACAGTTCAATTGGCATTCAGCTACACTTCTGTTACCCATTATCTCCAATCGACCTAAATGACAAAGTGATGTAAGTCCTTCAACTGTGGAAGGTTGTTAAGCCTATAAGTAGTCTAAAGTGTGAGAGAGCAGCTGTGTCCGATTGACTAATTCTTAAAATTCACAAGATTGGTGGCCCAGTTTTACGTATTAGATTGGCTGATCTTAGACAGTCTGGGAGCTGGATATAATCTATCCAATTGGTCTCGATCGCTGATCGTTTTAATCTATAAGAAAGCAAAAATCCTATTTTAGCAACCACGGAAGAACCTGTTTAACTAATATAGTGTCTAAAATATTCGCCTCAGTAATACCTCAAAGTCTAACTAGAGCTCATGAAGGTAAAACCTAAAAAACAATCTTATTTCAGACCTGGACGTGGATGTATAGACCAAATATTCATCCTTCAACCGCTTCTGGGATATAGACATACTTTTCGACGTCAAACTATTGTTGTATTCCTTGACTTTAATGCGTTGTTCAACTCCATTTATCTCGAGGTTCTGTGGTTCCCGTCACTGAAAGGTGTACCGACGAAGCAACTCAACTTTGTACAGACTCTCTACTAGGACACTACCTTTCGAGTCAGAGCTTATGGCCAACAATCATCGGGACTGGTTACTTTAGTTGGTCTTCGTCAGGGTTGTCCACTTTCCCCATTTTTATTTGACTTTTCTTAGATATGCTTTCAGAGATAACAGTTTTATCGTCTGACTTAGGGATTGATCATATACCAGGAGATCCACTTGTTGACTTGGAATACGCAGATGATATAGTTCTGTGTGAAGATGCTGAAAAAATGAAGTGTTCTGACTATCTTAAGCAACAATGTTAGCATATTTGGGATGCTATTTTTTCTCTGCAAATCTAAAATGTTACTTCAGGATTGACTTGCGTCATTGCCTGAATTAGTGCTAGGTAGTGAAGTAGTTGAACGCACCCACTGCTTCACTTGGGCATTTCACCAGTGCTGATGATTTAGTGTTTGACAAAATCTCGGAACAGAACCAAAGAGCTAGTTTGACTTTATCCAACTTGAGTCACTTATGGTATGGGTCAGATATCTGTCTCCTAACCAAATAGCGAGTTCAATACTCAGCTATTTACTGAACTCAACTTTATGAGTGGGAAACATGGCCATTGAGAATAGAGGATATTTGCGGGTTACTAGTGTTCAATAATAAGTGTCTACGAAGCATTGCTTGTGTATTTTTGGGATCACAGAGTATGCAACTCCCGGGTTATGGATAGAGTGCTAGGTAAAGATAGTAAATAGATTGATGAGGTAGTAAATCTTCAACCCAGGTGGTTAGGACGCGTCCACCTCGACGGGCATTGTTTCCTGGTGTAGGGGTAGGCTAAAAGAAAATGAGAGATAACCAAGCCCAAGCATGGCACTAATCCATAAAGTCACCGACAATTTAACTTAATCATGTTAATAAATGTAAACTACCTGGTTGGGGTCCGCGCGATTATCGTTACTTATGATTAGATACTTTGAATAACATGGTTCAAAATCGTTTGCAACGGCGCAAGTTCATCCACTCCTTGTCAACCCCAAATTTTGGGGTTCTAGATTCCTTATAAGGTTTTGGTGTTTTTATTTCACTAAATTGTATTTTCTTCCCGAATCGTATCTTCGATACCTAATTTATTCAATCACTGCTGATAATGCTACCAACTCTTCTATTGTGAGATCTGTGTTGACAATGTCATCTCTTTATGCTAATGAGATATTGCAACTCGAACCGATGTACATACGTACCTAGTTTCACGTTATGACTAACTGACTTGGTTATTGATCAAGTATTACTCTCTACCCTCATTTGAGTATCGTTAATTGTTGTAATCCCCACTCAACCCATGACTTGATAACTGCGTTAGACTTTGTTATACTGTAATTTTTAATCTGCTAAATTAGCTCAAACCATAACTTAGTAGTTCACTGTTTAACAAATATATTTGTTGTGTTCGCATTAGCACGTTTTTGCCGTTCATTAGTGAGTGGGTAAATCTATATGACCTTCCTGAATCAGGTGATTTTACGTTGAAAACACCCATGACAAAATTTTCTTCCATTGTTTTTTTTCGCATAACACATACAAATCTACAGAATGCAAACAAACGAACTTATTAATGGAATCACTGAGACAGAAGACAGTTCATATATGGAGAGTGGAACGGATATTTTGGATTTTTTAAATACATCTGATACAGAGAATGAAGATATAAAAGATATTATTGGAAATGAACCAGATAAAAGTACTGAAGAAGATCCATGCAATGAAGAAGCATCCTCACTAACACTTTCCATAACCAATGTAGTTGTTATGGCTAGTCTTCAGTGTCATTTACGATTGAAAGAAATAGCCAGAACTAGTGTTAATGTAGAATATAAACCGCTTCAGAATGTAAGTTTAGAGGATTTTTATTTCAATTTTACAATTTTATCTCTATTGTTGATTTTGAAGGACATATACTCCCAAATTATTTTTAGCTTAGTTAACTTACCTGGTAAATTATCTCTAGGTTCTCACGAGTAGCTAAATGTTTTTGTAATACTTTGTTTTGGCCCCCGAATGCTCTGGTACGGCCGACAGTGGGAGAGTCAGCTCTCCCTCCCAACATGCTCAAATGGCCACGTGCATACAACCACTGCCTTCTCGCGGCGGGGGTGTTGTTTAAGAAATTGAGAGGATGAAAAGCGAATGTCCGGCTCTTTAACCGGATTGGTGCACACGGAAGGTCCACCTAGGGGAGTTGGAAAGCCCTGATTCCAAAACAATGGTGCACATGGGCCTAAGTATCCTGAAAGAACAAATGGCGTATGAACCAATCGTTGGTCACCGACTACCATGGGACTGCATCTCTTTACGATGCTCCATTGCCTTGTGGATCAGACCTTTAGGTCGAAGGCTCGGGGTGTGGCCCCCTAAGAAAACCACCTGCTTCGGTTTGGGTACCCGGGAAGTATCCCAACCCTCACACAAATCGAATGATTTGTGTGGCGCATATTTATTTGGTGCCTTCTTGTACCAATGTTTGTGTTTAAATAAATGAATGAATGTTTTGGTTATCCATTCTATTCATTTTATTTAAATACTAGTCGCAAATTGACCTAAGTTAAAATGCTGAAAAACTAGGCAATGCCAAACAATGTACATCACTTAAATTGACAGTTATGTGTGTAATTATATTTAACAACAACTACGGTACTATTTCTAAATCAGTTAACGTTCCAGCATTTGAATTTGTGGAGATCTATTTTCAATATTATCATAACTAGAAGTTTGAATACCATTTATTTTAATGAATTTTATGGAAGGGTTCGATAGTTCCGCGGAGTTTTTATGTTCTGGAATCAAGATAATATTAAAAAACCATAGAAAAACGTGTATTGACTATTTTTAAGTTTTCTTACTAACTTACTAGTGGAGATCAGTGTGCCTGGTTTCGAGCTACACTGTGTGATGACTAACGACATCCGGTTGTCCAAACAAAAGTGAGTGATGTAGGACTCCAGCCTAGGATTTATTGGCTGAGTCTAACGCCTTAATCATTGAACCACGGCTCCGTTATTCATAAATTGACCTATCTCCAAGTACTGTGTTGTGCTCCTCCAGCTATTGGTTTACACTTGAACACTGCTTTTTGATTATTAACATGATATCTTTATACAACTCCTGGTTTATAGTCAGTAGTTTGTTAATAATAATGATAATAATAATAACAATGTAATTTATTTACCAAGTATGAGTATAGGTATCAGGCTTTAAACCATACTATATGTATAAAATCTAATGATACTATATAGCTGCTTCAATATATGTCACCAATTTTCACTATTTAAATGCTGATCAGTTAGGAATTTTAATTTATTTATATGGTTAAATAATAGTAAAACATTGCCAGTCATTGTATAATAAATTTATAGATGTTCAATAGACTTTATTTGTTGAGTTATAGGATTAGATTCGTGATATTCATAACCTGTTTCCAATACTTATCATATATTTTCAAACCTTTACTATTATCATAAATTTTTTTTGGTTTCTCTTCATTTGCTCATGTTACTTGTAATGATTGAAATCGATGCACATATGCAGCAACTTCTTTATTGTTTCTATGTATCTATCTTCTGTTAAAGCTTATTATATCCTACTCATTATCCTATGCAAATTCTCGATCTCGTCAATAATAATATCATTTAGATTTTTGGTAATTTGGTCAGAGGAGTGTAGTTAACCCACTTTGGTTGGTATTATCTGCACGATTGCAATTTTTGTTCAACCCTGTTTACATGATACAATCAGTGTACATCACAACGCTGAGTATGTATCGATGTTAATAATCAATAATATAGTCCTATTGTAACCATATATTGCTTAAATACAGTTATATTATACTACCTAGTTAAATGCTCCTCTCTTAATGTGAATCTTGATATAATCCCGAAAGATATTTTCTTCGAGTTCATTACCGTTTTTGTGTATCCGTTTTAAGTTCTCGATTCTTGAGAATTCAATAATATCAATATTTCTTATTTTGTTGATTTTCATAAATATACAGCATGTTATAATGCGTTTACGATCACCGTATACAGTAGCAACAATTTGGTCTAGCGGAAAAATTTGGTGTACTGGATCCAATTCGTAAGCAATAAGTCTCAGTAATTTTTCTGTGCATTCTTTTTCCCTATATAGCTGTACCAAATGTCAAACATTTTACTTTTTATCGGTGTCTATAATGTAGTATACCTGATCATTTCTGAACTGTTGTTTCGTATTCACTCATTGCATTAAGCTATTTGAATTTGTTAACAACTGTATTTGAATATCCACGTTAGATTTTTTTTTCTTTTGTGGTTTTAACTAATTGATGTATAAATATGTGTAATCGAGATGAATTAACCAGTGTGGTATTCATGGTTGTTCGCTAGTAATAGCACTTTGTCTGTGTGTTTCCATACGTTGTACAAATTATAAATTCATAAACTGTGTTAGTTATTCAGTCTGTTGGTATTTACAATTTAAAGAGTGATTTATTTGTAATACTGCGCACGTCATAAATATGATAGATATCTTACTTACATGTGATATATGACAAACGGAAGTATTTGTGTGACAGTAGTTTATAGGTTATATATTTAAGCATTCAAATGTAGAGTAGTAGATTAACGATTAAAACACTTGACTTTCAATCATAAATACCATGTTGGAACTCTGCTACATCTACTTCGGTTTGAACAGTCGGGAATTATCGATAGTGTGATTTATGACGAAGTACATAAGCATGAACGTAGTAAGTTAAGTCACATTGATAAATTGCAGGGTTTGGATATATGTGTTACCCTCTTTCTTGTTCAGTGTTTGTTCGCCAATGTACGTCCGTCGAACCAACATTAATTAAAATAATAAGCCAAGATTAAGTTTTACTTCAACTGTGTGTAGTTATAAAAACAGAAGAGCAATCAAAGCCAGTAGTCCGCTTCATTCGTTTATGCGACTGTGAACTGTTGAATTATCAGTTTACAATGAATGGTGACTTTATGTATGTAGTTTGATAGCTATGTTTTGAACAAGGACAATTTTATTAATTAGAGCGATGACACTGATTCATTAGAATATGTCTAATATATACTATTGATTACTCTGATAAACCATGACTTCTAGTTTGAAAACAGGCTGTGAAACGCCTCAGAGTTGTCTAACAGTCATGGTATTCACTCAGGTTTGTGTGAGCTTCCTGACTGGGATTCGTCAGGTGTTAGGTAAACTGGTGTAACTAAATATGTCGCCTATTTTACCCGAGTAATTTTTCGTCTCTAGCACAGCAGGTGTTATTCAAACTGTCAATCAAGGATTTCATGAGTTGTCATCACACTGGTTTGACCAATTTGAGATATTGTTTGTCATACTATTACCCTAATTGGTACTAAATATATGAACCACTGCTATTACTTAAGAGCTTTACAATATCATTCACCGGTTCGCTTACAATAGTAATGCCAGTATTAATAAGGAAGCATATTGTTATTTTTTTGTTTATTTGTTTGTCAGTAACTAAACTGAAGTGATGTCGCAACTTTGTGACTGGCATATCATGCAACTAATAGATAGAACATTTATGCAGTTCATTGGAGTTCATATCATGTCGTCCCACCAAACAATACTTAAGTTCAAGTTATGTCACTGAACTTTAAATACCGATTCTTAAGTTTAGATTCAGCCTCACTTTTTTCATTTCAAACATCCGTGTAATTCCTATAGTTTCTGTGATTTGAAGCTAGCTCAAAGCAAGAACCTATGCCGGGTTAATGAATTACAAAAGGAAATTGATTTTGTTAATTGCAAAATTTTTTCACGTATTCAAAAAGAAGCCTTGTTTAAGTATTTCTTATTATTTTATGCATTCTCCATCTTTTCTTTATCATCCACAGGCTTGCCAAAGCGAAAATTGGCGCTAGGCGTATTGCTAGACGAATAGCAAAATGTGGATTTCCGTGTCATTTTAGTAAATATCGTGTAGTTAATATTATGGCTACTTGTAAATTACCATTCGGTGTCAGATTAGAAGAATTAGTCAATGAAAGACCGATGCAAATGAGGTTTGTTTTCGAAGTGTTAATTATTTTTATGGTTCATAAATTAGAGCATTTTTTATTCATTGGTCGTTTTACAGTAAAAGATATGTTCTTGACACATGAAATTAATAAATCATATCTTTAAGCCATTAAAGCTAATAACCACGTCAAGAACGTGATTGGTAGAATTCGACCATTATTCTTCGGTTTTTGATTTCTATACGTCATCCACTTGTCCATGGGGTCAGTCATGGACTGTCCATCTCAGTTTATTTTTCAACAGTTTAAGGTTTTAGTATCAAAGGGCATACTAATTTCACAGGGGTTAAAGTGAAGTCCAGATTTTCAGTAGTTATCTAACTTGGATCGGTTCTTGATCCTAAGAAAATTCAACAGTCTCCACAACCTCGAAATGTATTTCAAATAGGACTTCTCACTGATTACCCTCAGGTTTCCAACACTGTTTACTTTGTTTCTGTTTGTCGCAGTCCTCTTGGCGTGAGTCGTAGTCGAGATTAATCATATAGGTTTAGGTGAACATAGATCTATTCTAACGCTAGTGTTCAGTTTATTGTCTAAACATCTTACTCTCCATTGGATTTGCATCTCATTGGATTTATGTAAGATTAACCATCGAATAATATTCGTAGTACTCATACAACAAATATTTTAAGGTAAAGTGCACATACACTCGGTCGGAGATTTTAATATACAACTGCACATGTGTAAGTCATATCAGCCCTGGCATGATGGAGGGTGGGGAGAGTCCGCCCTTCCTCTCAAAATTCTCATATAACCATACGTATATAGCCATTGCTTGGGAACCCCTACTCATTGCCTTCTAGTTGCGGGGATGTTTAGGAAATTGTGAGGGTGAAGAGCAAAGATCCTGCGCTTCAACGGTGTTGATTGGTACAGATGATCCACCTAGAGGAGTTGGAAAACACTGATTCTAAAGCAATGGTGCATATGGACTCCAGGATCCTGAGGTAATAAATGGCGTACAAACCTATTGTTGATCGCCGGCTACCACAGAACTCCACTTCCCAAGGCTGTTCTACTTTCTTGTGGATTAAACCTCTAGGTCAAAGGCTCGGGGTGTGACTTCCTCACATAAACCACTTACTTCGGTTTAAGCACCCGGTATTCTAGCCCACGCACAAATCGAATGATTTGTGTTGCGCATATATATTTTGGTGCCCTATTTGTACTAGTAAATAAAACTAGGATAGGATTAGGCGTAAATAACGCTAAGTGCAGGCAAATTAAGATATGGGATCAGTCTATAAAGTTGATAAATTTTGATCAGTACATTACTGTTAGATGTGGAGTATTTGGTTGAGGTCTTCGTGTTGGTAGTGAATAGTAGTTGAGAGGTCTTGGGTGATTTGGTTCAGAGTTTAGTACTGGGGCAGGTACATTAATTCTTTATACTCCCGTAGATTCTGGGTTTCGGTATAACTTCACAATTTTCATTCTGCGATATAATACCTTCTAATTCATTTTATGTTATGTCTTTCTTACTATCATCGAGACTGCTGATATCATTTTAACTCCTGATCTCCGTTTTGCCAGTGTCGTTTTGACGTGTTAATGTGGTGTGATAGCTTATGAAGATTCACATTTGTGCTAGATCCGACATTGATTTTTACTTGATTTAATTAAGGCGTTCTGAAACTCTTAAAGCACATTTATTTTACTACAATAATGTATTGGCGGTTTTGTGACTTGACTATGCAAGAGAGTATTGTTTGGGAAGTTAATATTTCTATCCAGACAACTCAGGGTGCTGCTCTCTCCGAATTTGGCAGAGGATAAACTCGGAACTTATTTAGTCGATGAACCTGAAATCGATAATTAACAGTCATTAGATTACAGCTCGTGTTTATATATATATATATATATATATATATATATATATATATATATATATATATATATATATATATATATACTACACGTATTCATTTTTTTCTACCAAAAATTTCTCATTCATTCATAAAAAAATGTCCGTGTTAAACAATATTGCACATATTTTTCAGTTAAAGGTACTGTTCTTTCTACCATTATAAACTGTGTTTCTTTTTTCTCTTCATACTAGTTACGAACCTGAATTAGCTCCTGGTCTCACTTTTAAAACTGATCTTAATTCAAGTACATCTCTAAAACTTTTTTCAACCGGACGAATCGTCATTATGGGTGAGTGTATGATGTTCTTTTCTTTTTAAAGTCATTTTAACAAAATATACATGTTTGTGTGCACAAACAACAGTTATTACCTTCCTAGCCGATTACTTGGTAATTATCTATTTCAAGCTTTAAAGTTTTAAGTGATATCATATTATTCTCTTTCACATGATTCGTACCTTCTAAACTGACTAATTAGTTAATTAACCATTAATACTATGTTTTATAGTAATTTCTCTGATTGTTTCGAAGTAATCTCTTAGAGTTATTGAGTATGAAGGAGGGAACACTTCCTCATGATTTCAGGTGTACACTGTCGAAGTCACAATTGATTGATCACTGGGTGGTGATCAATGTCATGCTTGTCTAGTCCTTATTAGTGCAGATCGAATGCTATCGATCATGTTGCAATGTGGCCACCGGTCTAGGTGACTCGACACTGCGGGCACTATATATTGAGATTTAGATGGTGGTTGGAGGTAGTCAACAGGAAACCCTGGACCCGGATTTCGTGCTACTCGACTGACTGGCCACATTGCAACATGATCGATAGCATTCGATCTGCACTAATAAGGACTAGGCAAGCATGACATTGATCACCACCCAGCGATCAATCAATTGTGATTACGTCTCAGTCCTACAGGAGGTCAGTCACGGCTCGGATAGCTCAGTGGTAACGTCTCTGACTGTGAAGCTGGGTGACACGAGATCGAATCCGCCAAGGAGCACCAGTTCCCTCAACATTACAGGTACACCTTGCTGACGAGTGCCAAGTGGCACGAAACCCGGGTCCAAGGTTTCCTGTTGACTACATCCAACCACCATCTAAACACTGTAGAAGCTTATAAAACCTATATCAAACAAAGCTTTTTATTAATTATTTTGTGTGAATTCAAGAGAAAAAATATGTAACCATAACAAGTATTTGTCAACTAAGTTATTTTTTAATCAACTCCCAAACATTTGAATGAAATTCTCTGCTTGACTATTTGAAAATAAAACGGGTAATTATTAGCGAACTGGAAACCACAATTGTGTGTGATTGCGTAATCTACTTTTAATCATGTTGTTTGTAGAACTGTAGTGAAAACATCCAGCTTTTAGCTGAGTTAGGTACCAAGTGTTTGATTCATACTCTTATCTACTTCAGTTTTGTTAGCTGGGTAATATTATTAGCCAATTAAACAAGAAAGCAGAATAACTAAACTTGTTCTTACTAAATGAGTTACATCATCAACTATTTATAACATCAATTTATTTTTAGAGTACTATTTTCGAAATATCAACTCTATTCTTATTTGTACGTACTCTTGCTTATACATTCATCATTTTTGAGCATATTTTTACATGTTATTGAAAGAAATGTTTTAACATACCAATTATATGATGTTTCACCCTTCTCAATATGTTAAATAATTTAGGGAGGGAGCTGAATAAAATCAAAATCGTTTACATAACAATGAATTTTTAATATCATATTTATCACTGCCGCAAGTAGGTTCACAAAGCAAGATTGCGAATGTCTACAAAGCATACCTCACGGTACCTTGATATTGATGATAGTTGTTAGCAATATATTTGTCTGAAGTCTTTTTGTTTAAGAAATGTCTCTGTTTTAATGGTCACTCAGAATAAGTTCTTTAATAAGTATTGCAATTACATCATTTATGCCTTTTCTAACATCAGGTTCCAGTTTAGATTCAATTGGTACATTAGTCGAGGAACTAGTTCCAATTGCTGCATTGCATCAAACAGATGAACCGGTTCCAGATGCTAATGATATACAAGAACGTGACGAAGCCCATGTAGTGTTAAAAGCAGCACGATACATGAATATGCTGCCAAATAATGGTGGTTTCAATGGATTAGTTTATGATATTGATGATGAATATGAAAATAGCGATGAAAGTGATTTTTATGAAGATGTCGGCGGTGGTGGTGGTGCTCAACATAGTTTTTCTACAGATGATTCAACTGACAGCGGGGCTTCTATTGACAGTGGTGGTGTAAGTACTAAAGTAAAGCGTAGAATTAAAAAGAAAAGTCGTTTATCTACTGTTATGGGTAATTCCATTTCCTCTACATCTCAGTTGCGAAGTTATGATTCATTGCGATCTGGTAGTCCGCTTCATTTATTAACTCCTAGAGAGGCTGCCAGTTTGGCCTTCTCTAAACGTGCAGCTGGAAATATTGAAGATGCTAAAGATTTAGTAGCAACAGCTGGAGAATTAAGACGTCAACGTGAACTGTTACTTCAAAGGACAACTCAAGATAGTATACGAACAGAATCTCGTTCAAATTTTTCTCAAAGTGATCCTACATGGTCTCGTAAAGCTGTTGCTTCAGGATCAACAAAACGTGCTTGTGTGGTCACTTATTCTGGAACAGAGGATAGTGAGTCTCAAGATTTGTATAATACTGTCGAACTACGCAGTCAAGGTTATACACAGTCTAATGTTTCTTCAATTGAACAACAACAACACCAGCAACAATTAAAAATTATTCATGCACCATCTTTGATGCCATTGAATTCAACAAATCCTCCGGTACAAGTTTCTACCGTAATGACTCCAGTCAATACTGCTGCCAATTCCTTACAATATGTATTGATTAAACCTTCTACAAGTATTGGTCAAACAGTTTACAACAATGTAATGCCTACTGTTCAACCAACTTTCAGTTATACTACAACACCATGTGTTACACCTATACAAACAAATTCTATTGTACAATTGTCCTTGCCATTATCAAATAGTGGTGTGGATGGTCAGAACTTAATAACAACAAGTACTGCATCATCTGCCTCTGTTGCTACGACTAATACTACTGTTTATCCTATCCGTCTATCCAATAATATTCTGCCCAATTACATATCATCAGTAAATGATGGCAAGGTTAGTCTTAAATTTATTAAGTATCCTTCCACTAATAATAATAGTAATAATAATAATAATAGTAATGCAGTCATAATCAAATTGCAATAACTATTTGGACTCGATTTCTTTTGTTTTAATGTGTATCAGGTGGTTTTATGCTTGCTAAGCTTGTATATATATGTGTGTGCACATTGTCTTCATTGTTTGTGCTTTCCTTTTTTATTTTCTTCCTCCCCAGTGATTTCTATTTATATACACATATCTGTTATATATATTGTTGAAAGATGGACAATTAATAGTAATGGCTTATGGTTCTTTTTCTATCTATATGTCCTGTTAAATAAATATTGAGAAATCAACAACTCATGACTACATCAAGTTTTACAAATATACACATTTTTTTGTATGTAGATGTGTGTATACGCGTATTTTTGCATGTACAATATCCCATTATCTGTTGTTTGATACCAGTGATAAAAAATGGTGTTGCTGTGTTATTGACAATAGCAATAACTTGTGTGTTTCTTTATATATTAAATTGAAATTTAGATTAATTCAGCCCTAACAATACTCTATTACTTTTGACAACGTTTCTATGCATGTATTATTTAGTTTGTTTTTTCTTCTTTTAAAAAAAGAACATTTCTACTGTGTGTATACGTGTGTAATTTCCCAATATGACCATCACCCCCATAGTTTTCACAACGCGTTGATTGTGAATTATTCGTTTTTGTTCGTTTTTATTTTACAATATAAGATATGATTTATGAAACTGTCAATTGTATGTGTTCGGTTATGTGTAGTTTTCTTTTTCCCTGTGCCTGTATTCCAGTAATTTGTTCTTGTGAATTTGAATGAACCGTTAGATATATTTCATATCGTTTCATTATACTTGAGTAACATGCTTGGTATACATTTTTTATTTGTTTATAATTATGCATGTACATATGTAGATTTATATACAAGTGTGTATGTATGTATATGTACGTTAGTTTTTGTTTCGTTATTGTCTAGAAGGGGTTGTCAAGGTGCATTTTGTATAACCGTTCTGTATGTGTTAAGCAATAGAAAAAGAGGTGGGTCGACAGTGAAAAACAATTCAATATATTGCATCACATACTATAAGCTCATATCAAAATATTTCTCGTAAGGCTATAAAAGAGTTATTTTTGGGTTAATGAAACAGCAGGCCTATAAAAAGTATACAGAGGACAAATAAAATATGTATGTAGCTATTTATATGACTAACTATTATCTTGAGTAGTAGATTTTTCATTTCAATAGGAAAAAGGTCTAAACTTTGATTTCCTGTAAGTATGCACTCATCAGCAAATTGTATACCTATCAACTTGATGAGAGCAATATGACATTAAGAAATTTCTCTATCGTTGAATTACTACAATATTATTTGTTTCAAATACTGTCGTTTTTAAATCTGGTTTTACGTTCTCAGCTTTTCTTTAGAGTTTTACAACACTTAGAACTCAATAAAGGCATTTCACTAATTCTAAACCTTTTTGCATTCATGTACAATTAGTCAGTTTAACTGAATTCAAATAAAAACATCGTATGTCATGATCAAATTGTACTGAGAAGAAAAGATTGGAAATAATAAATGAAACTTTGTTTACACTTGTTTAAGAATAGTTAAGCATAGTGCTTAGTAAACACTTTTAACTACGTTTTATGGTCATTAAATCTTTGAGTAATTATATTGTGTGACTTTTCCCTCCATAATAAATGTATACTACCTCATGATTCATTAAATAATCTTTTCAAAAGAACATTTAAAAGATTATGCGCCTTATTACTGTAGACTCATAGCTTTAAGGATTAGGTGTTAACCAATCAAACTGATGGATTAGTTCCATTCCACCTCGTATAATTCTTCATTTTATTAATTGGATAGTACTTCTCAAACTTCAGATACATGTGCAAGTCAATCCATAATAAATTTATTCATAGTTACATTCATTATTTATATCTCCTATCATTCTTAAATTCCAAGTGTATTGTACAGTAAATATGAAAGAGAAAATGTAAATAGTTTTTCTTAAGAGGCTGTGTTTAGTTCCAGCTTGTTGCTAAGGCGTTAGGAATTCATTTAAAAGGATTTTAAAATCATTTTCAATAACTATAATGATATTTTCACAGTGTTTTTTGAAAAGAATTCATATTACACATTTGTTACTTGGTATGTTACTTTTTCACTAATGTTTCATTCTTGAAATTCTAATATTTTAAGCTTACAAATTAAAATCATTCTTCGTCTCATAAAACACATTTGTACTATTTGTCCTCAGGTTTATTGTTATTTGGTAATAGAATACATGTATCCACTCAATATTTATATTCTTACTTAATTTCACCTGTTCAGTTACTGAGTCACACTATCATTATGTTAGCTATGTACTTTCCTGTTATAATGAGTTACTTAAATTTATTTCCCGCAAGTCTTCCATGGTTTTTCATTGAATAGAAGTAGGTTATTCCCTGCGATTTGATTTGTAAATAGTTTAAATTACATTATTATTTATTTTATAGCTCTAGTTATTCTGCTTTATTTCAAACTTTTCCACTTGATTAGATGATGAACTTTGCTACTGGTACTCCTTCTAATACGTATACAAATCACTTAATAGGCTTTCCTAATACAACTCAAATATTTCCAAATGTTTATCAAGTTGATCCCAATTCAATTATACCTGGCCAAACTGCTCCACTTGTCTTTGGATCTTCTTTACTCACTTCATTTCAACCTACAAATAATGTTATACATCCACAGATACATTTACCTGCCCCAAATGTTCTATCTGGTTCACCAAATATTTTTGTTGGAAATTTCCCTCCAGGTATTACTTTAAAGACAGCACCTGTACAAACTGTCGGAAGTGTAACTTCAATTCCTTTCACTCCAACATTTGCTTACCAACAACCTGGAGGTTATAATTAATACAGATATGGATATAATCATTCTTTTTTTTGTCGCCTCTGTTTTGCACACACCACAACAGTAAATCTCATTGTACATAATACAGCACATACTAGATTTTCTCATTGTGAATACTTGCAAAGAAAAATATCCAATACAGTGCATCAATCATCCAGTATATTTCTTGACTTTATTACACATACAGAATTGTATCTAACATATATAATTCCTTTAAAACTTGATTTCATCATTCTCAACATTTATTATAAAAATAAATACTATTTCAAAAGAACTTGTAAATTGAAATGTTTTATTTTCTGAAATTACTTTTAGTTGTTTCAATTATTCATGTTTGAGCAGTATTTCTTTTTTTCTTCTTCACTATCAATGATACTATTTCTCTCATTGAAATCATGCTAATTAGACCATTATCAATATTGAACCGCTGTTTTGTTTTCATTTTAATGAAAAAAAAAGAAGAAGAAGAAGACTATGTATGCATTTATTGTTTATTATGTCACGTTTTTCTGTTTGTTTGTTTGTTCGTTCATTTTTGTAATTTTTATTTCATTCAAATTTAATATCTAACTTTTGTGTTACCTCATCTTTCAAAAATTTAAGGCGAAACAAAATTGAGAACATAGTTTTTTCTAGGTTTAAAAATCCATTTATCTTTACCGTAATATATATATTGTTATATATGTTTGTACCTTTTGAGACATGTATTATGTGGATAGTAGAAGTGAATCTTTTTTTTTTCCAAATTAGTTGTTTAGTTTTTGACGTTTCTTTCGAGTTAAAAATGATCTATGATTTCTAGTTGAACTGAATTAAATGGATCCGTTTTGTGGTTGTTTTGATATTACATCAACTTTGTTTGTTATTTGAAGTGAGATAATATTCAAACTAATTGTCTAGTTATATTTGTATATTTAGTCTTGATGAGTGTTAGGTAGTTCGAGGTAGTTGATATGAATACCTAGGCCTAAATTTCGTGCTATTTAACACTCGTCAGCCAGGTATATCTATACTGTTGAAGTTGCTGCAGCTCCCTGGTTGATTCGATTTCATATCAACCCGCTTCACATTTTCATACGTCATAGTTATCCAGTATGAAACTGGTCTGTAGAATAGATGTTTACAATCGACCGGTACATGAGTAGAGACCATTGTCATGTCTGTTTAGTTCTTTATTACTGATCGAATTCGTATTCTGCTTATGTATTAGGGTTTTGACACTCGTGTGTTGCTTTATATACTTCCGAAATACTTTGATGCTGAAAGACTATCATCCAAGTATTAAGTGTTATTAAGCTCAAATACGTAGTAAACTTCCGGAGAGTTCACTGTAAAAATGCAAACGTATTAGTATCCTAGGCATCCTACTTCATGATTTATCAGTGAACACTCCAAAATGAAATCGGATTTTCGAAACTCATAACTAAACAACAAATTTCCGATGTGAAACTTTATCCTATGCTGAAAAATTCTAAAATGTAAACCCGGAAAGATGATTTAGAGTTTGTATTATTTTATAGTTTTCCATGTATTATTACGTTAATAACTCGTGTTTGCTGTTTAGTTACAATATTTGTTGTATGTTACCGTTTGGCTTCATTCAACAAACAGGAATCTATATCTTAAGACAGTAATGCAAAACTATCAACCAGTTTAGCAAACAAGATGACTCAACCAATGTATACCTCACTGTTCAGTAATTGTTAATGTCCTATAAAATTAGCTGATCACTATACAAATATCAATCTGTTGTGTCACCGCCTCCCGAAGACCTTTCAGATCCTCATGAACATTTATTGACATGTTTTCCAAGATTTTCAGAATTCACATTTTTAATTAGCTCTTAATAAACTATTGTGCTTGTATGTATTATTAACAACTTCTACACACTTATTCTTCAGTAAGAAATATCTTGTAAATGGGATCAAGTACGTTATTGGTGTGTTAATTTGAAAACACGCAGTGGCATGGAGGAATTGGAATATCTTATCTCCGTGATGCTTTGCGCCTAGTCATTTGTTTCACTCAAAACTTGTTTCACATATATTGGTATTATTATAGGTTACATAGTTATATACTTTCGTAAGTCGGAGGACAAACTGTTCTAGGTATAGGAATTTTTCTGCAACCACCAGTAATTTAAACTAATTTTCACAGTTTGAGCTCTATGGACGTTTTTTGTTGATCTGTAAAATTGAGATCTGAGTTTGTTCTAAGATTTTGTACAATCATTGATAAGCTCGTGTATATATTCATATGGATTGAAACGTTATTCTTCTAGTCCTAAAACCACTTTTAAATCCTCCTCCTTCAGTAAATACTTTTTAAGTTTAGTAAGTATGACGCAGCAGTGAGGGAGTAATCTCAGCTTAGAAGGCTGTTAAATAAAGCAGTATTACGAGAATGCTTAATACAATATTAAGTTAGGTTCTGGAAGCCCGCATTGTAACTTCGAGTCTTTACAGTTGTGCATTCTTTCAAATAACTTGGAGCTCCTAGCATAACCAATTACAAACATTTGCTATGAGTTTATCAATAACTCACACCAATTTGTGTTCGTGGGTCTGCATCAACACCTGAACTAAGGATAGGGAGTGAAGTCGAACGTGTTGACAACTTCACCTATCTTGGAAGTCTGATCAGCCCTAATGGGTTGGTGTCTGATAAAAATCTCAGCACGGATTCGAAAAGCTCGCTTGGCTTTTGCCAAATTACGTCACCTATGGCGAAGGCGAGATATCCGTCTATCAATAAAGGGACGAGTATACTGCACGGCAGTCCGTTCTGTTTTAATTTACGGCAGCGAAACATGGCCATTAAGAGTAGAAGACACTCGTAAGCTACTAGTATTTGACCGCAGATGCCTCAGAAATATTGCTGGCGTCTGCTGGGATCACCGGTCAAGTAATAGTGAGGTTAGACGCAGGGTATTAGGGAAGGATGGTAAATCAGTCGGTGAGGTTGTGAATCTTTATCAACTGAGATGGTTGGGCCACGTGTTACGTAGGCCTGAACACCGATTACCACGACGTGCAATGCTAACCGGTGTTCGGGATGGTTGGAAGAAAGTTAAGGGCGGCCAAACCAAAACGTGGCATCAGTGCTTGAAGTCACTAACTTCTAGTCTGAGTCATATTGGTAGATGCAGACTACTTGGTTAGGATCCGCGCAACTATCGTAACCAATTGTTGGAGACTCTTGGTGACATGGCTCAGAATCGACCACAATGGTGTAGGTGTATACACTGTTTCTTTAAACTACGAGATTAAAATCGCTTCATATCTTTATTTCTACGAACTAATTCTTTCTTTCTGTACTATATCCTTATATGCAATCTTTCTTTTATATATTACCACATCTGCATTAACTACTTTTATGAATCCGTTGTCCATCTTTTTGTGTTAATGAGGTATGGCAACTTGGACCGATGCATATATGTGCATGGTCCTATGTTGTAGCTGACTGACTGGAAAATGAGTATTAAATTTTCTTGACTGCAAAGAAACAAATACATTACAATGTATTTTATAAAAAGACACAAAAATGGGTTCTGCTTTACAACTATTAAACGATTTGTGGAATAGTAAATTCTTAGGCGTCTTTAGAGTTAAATGACACCAATATGTAGACATGTGTTTTGATTTCTGTAAAGTAAGCTAAATGCGAGCCTTATAGTTTTCATATACAAAGTTTATTACTTTTTGTTGATAAAAATAGGATGCATCCAGCATTTCTGCATATATATCCAAGAGAATAGGGAATTTAAGGTGTCTTTTTCTGCAGTAATAGCGAGTGGTCTTGTCAGATCGCAGGAATTTCACCTACTTCTTAGGTGTATTAATCTTTGAAATTATTAATCTAAATATTACTTGCTCTCTGAAGTTTCAACCAATTCTACCTGGCTTTTCTTAGTAGTATTTTAACATCTAGCGTTCCTACAGACTCAAATGCTAGTCTTATAATCTTCTTTTCTAAGGATCTAAACTAGTTTAGAATGACCGATATACTTTAGTAATTAGGCAGTCATCTCATCTCTATAATAAATAAGTCATATCGAGAGAAATATTCATAACCTTACTATAATAAAGACAAGCAACAACCCACAATTTGGCAAAAAGGCTAAAATATTCGTTTCATCTACATTTGAAAGTCTTTTTTCGTGTTGACATGGGTAGTGGTAAAACCGAGATTAAAAGATTATGTTTTCATTTTGCTCTACTTTTTTGTCTTCCTGCTAGTTGTCACCTTTGTTGGCAGCGGTGTCCGCTTCATGTGTTTTTTCTTGGAATATCTTTCCGATTTGTCATGAAGGTTTTGTAATATTTGATCTGTAATATTATATTAGTTTATAAAACAAATCACCTGTTAAGTTAGGGTAGTACTGTTCAAAGTTTTCAAGCATAGGTCGGATATTCACTTGTTGATCTGACTTGTCTCCTTGTTGCTGAAAAGTTAACTATTATGTTTACCTTCAATAGCTACAAGAATGTAGACGCCACCACCTTCAAGACTTTGTACAGTTTGCTGGTAATTTTGTGAATCACTTAATCCTAAAAGCCTTCCCGAAGTGTCACATAAGTCAAATGTGACTTTTTTGTAAATGCTCGTTAGATAAACACATACTTTCAGGGTCTATGTCGCAAGCGGTTACGATATAGTTGAGTAGAATTTCAAAGGAACACCACATATTGACTAATACTTTTTTGTTTTCTATAATAAGATGTTAGTACTATATTTACTGTAGTACCTCCAAATCTGATCCATATAAATGGTCTACTGGTTGGTAACATACTTATCTCTCAACTTTGTAATTTATCTGACAAATTGACGACTAGTTCGATCTATTCGTGTGTAAGATAATTTCTGCTGTTCAGTACCCAATAACTTTGTCACAAGCTTTTATAAACCGATCGTTTTCTTTGCTCTCGCTTCCTGTTTTTTTCGGTACGGTCTCAGGTATTTGATAACCTCCGATGGGTGATAGTCCAACCACTCGACTGAATTAATTCTACTCAGTTTAGTAGTTACCTAAGAATTTGTATACCTTGTAGTTTGGGTGAGTGTATTTGTCCCAGGGCAGTAGAATTTTTGGATACCAGCAGCTATCACATTACCAAGCAGAAATTTGGTTGTTTGCAATGTGGAAATAATGATTTGGTAATTCATGTGCTAAGGGAAGATAACTATTTTAAGGATAAATAAATAATTTACTTGATTGGTAATGTGTAAGAGGATGAAGTCGAAAAAATAAGAGAAACGGAGATAATTATATGGAAGATAGGAAGTAGATAGTGATATACGGTAATGACAACCGTGGTATTTTATGAAACATGTATTAGACACGGCTGGTTCGAGTTAGTTGTCCATAAATGAGTATTTGTTTGTCAAGTCTTCTCTTGAAGCTATTCAGTGATGGGGTTGTCGTCATTTAGTCTGCGAGAGCATTTAAAATGGGGACAACCCTTTAATGATAAAATTGAGCGCGTACCTCGATGTTCACTATTTGATGTGCAATCTTTCTAGAGCTGTCTGGAGGTGCGTGTTGATGATGTTCTGGTAATATGTTCGTTTTGGGGTGGCTCGGTGCACTTAATATGTTGTACGCTCTTATCAAATCACCTCTTATTCTCTTGCAGAACATGGAGAATAATCACTGGTGTTGTGGCCTGCCCTGATATGATTTATCTTTTAGCCCTATCAATCACTTGATTGCTGGTTTAAGGGAAATATGTCTTATGAAGAGTGGGGCGCAACGATATTGTGTACTTTAGGGTGAAACCGTGCATACGTTCTAAACAGTATTAGCAAAATCTCTGTGGTGATTGCATCATGTTGTCTTTGCATAAAGTGGTGAGTTGCGTTTCACAATTAGTATGAATTTTATGTTTAG